GACGGACGCACGGATAGCTGCACGGACGGATGGACGCATGGACAGACGCAGGAGCGCATGCATGGACGAAATCAGGGACGGACACACAGATGGACGTGCGGACGCACGAACAGACGCACGCACGGACGGGCGGATGGACGCACGGGCGACCACACAGACGGACGCATGGACGGACGGAAGCAAGAACGAATGGACGGACGGATGCTTCGCCCCACTATCTATCATTCACTCCGTGGATATGCTGCCATTTTCACAGGGACTTACTGAGTGCTGGTGAATGTTTGATAGAATGTGACCGCAATTCCTGTTAATTAAAATTACTTTTATTTTAATGCTTACAAGTGCTCGGCCGTTAACTGGCTGGATAGCGGACGCTCTGACTCGTCAAATGTGAGCTGCGAGACCAGCATAATTTTCCTTGTTTCATTTAGTTCTGTGTTTACTGATGTTCTTGTTGTATAGAAGATGACGATTTTCAGTTTCCCATCGTTCTATAAGCAAATTATTCAGGTAACTTAAAGAACAAGAGCTGATTCAGTGATTGAAATGTGGCTTGACTCTCAGAACGAACTTAAGTATATACCGTAATAAATACAGTTTGGCAAATGTCAACTCTTGTTTGCGCGAAATATTTTGCTTTCTGCGCGAAATGTTTGCTTTTTACGTTATACTTTATAACAGCAAAAGCGTCACTATGAACAGGTGTTATAAATAGTGTAAAAACGTTAACTTCTATGGCTCTACAGTGATCTCCGAGTGGGTGATGCGAAGTTCCTTCTTTTTTTTGGTGGGTGGAGACTTCATAGCTTGCCATGGACGCGTTGCGATTCCCTCTGAGTATTTTTCAGCCAAATTTTTTAATTAGAGTAGGCGTATGTTTAACCTAAAGAGATTCAGTAGGATGGTCGAAAATGTAGGAACCATTTTTCTTGAAAAATGAAGTGCTATCGGCAGTGTGCGTGCTTTTCTTGCGCACCACGTGCCATTATTATTGCGGATTGGGGGTGAAGTCTGTAATGGCTCATTGGCAGTGGTAGTGAGACTAAAGAGTGAGCCGTGCAGTATCGCGGCTTTCCGTTCGCATTTAACTTCTTAGAAGGCGCTTGAATTGGTCCTCCGCCACAGGTTCGAAATGTGTTCTCATCAGTATGCTTAAAACATAGGCCATAACTGTAAAAAATTGCCCGCAGCTTCCCTCGGGGGAACACTGAGCAGGATGCGGAGCATATAATTGGTTAACGGGGTGTTAAAGTGCGACTTACTTGGGTCGATGGCTAAATTGGTTAACGTGGTTGTGAAATGGGGTGTTAAATTGCGACTTACTTGGGTCGATGGCTAAATTGGTTAACGTGGTTGTAGGAGGGGGTGTTAAATGAGTGAACACGTACACACGTATGCGAAAGGGCGGCGCTGGTCGAAGGGACGTCGATCATTGTGTTTGTGGATTCGTTGGAATTCATTTCACCGCGACCTTGGACGTCGACGCGCCGTACAAACCAACCGACGAGCGGCAACTGAGCGAGCGAGCGCCGACCTTGAGTATATATACAGCACGACGGCGCATGCACTGTCAGCTGTTGAATGTTCTCGAAGCGCGACGCCACATGCGCGTCCACTGGAGAATCAGGAGAATTGTAGATGTCGAACGCGGTGTGTAGAGGAGGAAGGGTGCACAGATGGTGGAGGAGTGAAGCGCGCGCGGTGTGTAGAAGAGGAAGGGATGCACAGATGGTGGAAGAGTGGGCGACGGCGCGACGGCGCATGCGCGCGCGTCAGCTGTCGAATGTTCGAGAAGCGGTGCGGACGGCGCGGACGGCGCACTACAAGGCGCGAGTATAAGATGCTTCCGCATCTAAAAGAAAGCACAGTTGAACGCGGGAGAAAGCAAGTTGGAGTAAATACGAGAATACTGGACATTTGCCGATGAAGTAGGATTAAAATAAGGTTAAAGACAGAAATCTGACATTGGCTCATACAGACGTTTGACCATTGCACTTGTTCTAGAAAGGTTTTCGATTGAGGCATGCAGTATGACTATAAATGAAAACATTGACAGAGCTTGCTTGTATTGAAATCGATAATTAAGGTATTGCCGGGAGGTTAGAATAGAACCCTTTCGTTCGTAGACATTTCATAAATATTAACAGAAACATACCCTTAACAATGATTTTTATCGACAACACTGAACAACGCCGATGCGCAGATGACGATGTCAATCAAAACTTCCCAAGGAATGTATTAGGATTCGCCAATAAACACCTTTATATGAATGGTGGGCAGCTCATATAAACCAGAAAAATAGTCTTTGTGGAATGTGAACGAACAAATAGCAACGAAGACGTTTATAATAATCTAGGAGGGTAGGCAGGAATGTCTGTTGAATAGAGTTTCTCGCAATAATACCTCGAGAGAAATCTGGTGCAACCGTCCGTGAGAATCTCTCAAGAGGCGATGGATTTATTGATTTATATGTGGGGTTTAACGTCCCAAAACCACCATATGATTATGAGACACGCCGTAGTGGAGGGCTCCGGAAATTTCGACCACCTGGGGTTCTTTAACGTGCACCCAAATCTGAGCACATGGGCCTACATCATTTCCGCCTCCATCGAAAATGCAGCCTCCGCAGCCGGAATTCGATCCCGCGACCTGCGCGTCAGCAGCCGAGTACCTTAGCTACTATACCACCGCCGCGGGGCAAAAAAAATTCATAATGGGTGCCGTTGCTGCAATGGGATCGATGGTATAGGGTATGTGAGGCTTGTGTCATCTGGCGTTGAGCGAGGCTTCAGTTAAAGTGGCAGCTGCAATGAAGAGGAAGTAGATCGGCACAAGGACAGCAGCATCGATTGCTAGTGAACTCAAACCTTTCAGATCTTTAGTTTATAATTCGTAGCTATGTCTGACAGGAACAAGAGATGGTTTGACCACTTGCTCAGCAACCATTTTTGTTTATTGGCAATTTTATCTCTAAACTGTTTTTTAGAATAGTTTTATATTTATTTTAGTTTCATTCAAGTATACTGCCGCCCAGTTCTTGGCCCATGCGCATCTGCCTCTGTTGGTGAGCGGCATCCATTTGAGGTCATCAGGATCAGGATCAGGAGTGTGCAGCAGAGTCTCGATCTAGCGGACTGGGCTCGGTAGTGTGCTCGATCAGTCGACAGCCGTAATGCAATTAGCCATTTGTTTACAGTAAATAAGTACGTAGCAAAAAAACTGCAATGAATGAAAATATGCGTGCTTATGCCGTGTGAACACGCTGACGCAAGTATTTTGCCAATACGTGCTGTAATAAGGATGTTACAGGGGTTAGAACAACTGTTTCAGTTGGTTTCAGCGTTTTTTTTTTGTTTCGCATGCTGTGACATGCGCTGGCATGTTACGCATGTTGTGACCCAGGTGTAACACGGAACAAAGTGTAAATGATTTGGATGGAAAGAAAAATAAGACATTTATTTTTTTAGTACAGAGGTTATGCACGTATACCATACACTCACAACTACGTGTACACAAAGGCTCTGGTAGAGTATACTGCAGGTTTAGTTTACATGTGACTCTTTGATCAAAGCTAGCACTGACACTTCATGGTAAAAAAAAACTGTACACAATAAAAATAAATATGCTAACATACAAGAGGCATGTGGTCCTTGTTTACATGCTACCATCAGCTATTAGCACTATGCTCACTGCAAAAAAAAAGAATAACACCGACACACGCACACAAAATATGTGTACACCTACAACTAACTCACTTCAAAGTAAGCATCGTCCTCTTATTACTAGAACCCTTCTGCTTAGATATGCTGTCATTTCTGCAAGCAACATAATCTTCAAGAAGAGAGTTGTCGACTGGCCTCGGGATTTTTCAAAACTTTATATCATAGTGGTGGCCATTCATACAAGTGCCCAGTTCTTTACAGTCGCTGAGCAGGTACAGCATTGTGCTTTGCAAGGCGGAACGTTGATTTACTTCTGCATGAAACTGATGTTCGTGCGTCTTGCTTGTTGGGTGCTCTAAAACTATCTTTGTTGCAAAAAGTGCATGCACCATGAATAGCGCTGGAAGCTTTAAGCATGGCCTGATCATGCTGTCAATTATCAAGTGATCACTTACTTCCACCTCTCTCGCTACTATTGTGAATTGTACGTCACAGTCTACTCACAACAGGCATTTCAGTGCATGCACATGAACACCTTAAACTTTAAACTTTATGAACACCTATACGGTTGTATCGCAGCTCTATGCCGCTCACCCGTTTGTTACTTTCTGCTACATGTATGACAATTATCCTTTTCATTTCTTTTAGTACTGCGTTTATTCTTAAATGTATTTGATTTCGTTTACCTTGAAGTTTTTTTTTCAACTGTGCGGTGCCCCCGTCGCCCTGCCGCATCACATTTTGCCGTTCGCCTCTTCGCATCGGGTCACTCGCGAAAGAAAGCAACTGAACTTTTGGACTTCCGTCGTAATTTCTTCTAAACGTTTGAACACAACACCACCCCATGTTTCACACACACGCGAAACACAAAATTCACGGCATACATCTACGTGCACAAACGCTTGCGAAAAGCATAGTGACGCGTACGACGGAGAGGGCAGCACTGTGCGCGAGAGTGTATGCACATGGCGCCCGAGCATGTGCAGACATGCGGCGTGCACCGTTTGACAGGGCACGGAGTGGCAAGTTATGGCAAGCGATGACTAGTCAAAGAATAACTTACTTGTGCTTTGGCGTAACCATCCATGTGGTTTTCGATCTATAATACGTAACCTGGCTGACATTTCACGTAATGAATGTCTGGCATATGTGCATTGCATCTTTTTGACCGGGTCACCTTTGCGATATGCCTCATTTTTCTCGATTTCTCCCACATGGGCGGTAGCCCAGTGAGGTTGGATCGAGAAATATGTCTTGTCGACCCCAGCGCATTTCAAACGCACGTCCATCTACGCGCACAATGTGTATATGAAATTATTCGATCATTTTCTCAATGTATATGAATATCAGTGCGTGCATGTATATTTATTTTCATTGGTTTTGGTGAATTTGGATGAAAATTATTTTCTTTTTGACCTCCTTCTTCTACTTTCCCACTGCTTTCGTAGTATCGTTAAGTTTAGCCGTACTTCTTCTTCAAATTGGCATTTGCGCATCATGCTCTTGCAGGGATTTCGACCATCCTTTATCTCCAGACAATTTCCGCCACAACACATGCCCACTTGTTCACCAACCTCCCCAACACGCTCAAGAACCTCGTCGTCTTCAATCTGAAAAAAAAAAGATGAAAATCACAGTTAAGCGAAGAGCAGTCCGCCATAATTACACGCTAGCACTTCTCTTTAAAGTTTAGCGTGTGGAAAATTTCATGCGAAAATATTTACGGTGCTGTAAGTTTCCCTAGAAACTGCATTCCATCTTGCAATTTTTGGCTTCGGTACACTTGACATTCGCGTTTTTAGCACACTTGTTTAATTTTGTAACTTTCAATTCTTCCCGTGGCCGAAGAGAAATTATAGAAAGTGTTGAGGCGATGATGGCTACGAATTAAGATTGGAAGCAGCGAGCTCAAAAGAAGTGCACTGTGACATACAGCTGTGACATACAGCAGTACTTGTTCGTAAAACATTCCGTATAATTTGGTTAATATTGCGATAGCCGTCTCGGCTGGGCTCTGCCGTGTCCGCCGCCGTCATGCACCGTATAAGTATACGTATATATTTGAAAACTCAAGAAAAAATTGGCCCCATATCTACATGTTACACTGCAAATTTCATCAAATGACAATCGTCTTGCGTGTAGGGAGAGTGAACAAAACGTTCATTTGATGTTCTGCCAAAGAAAATCGGTGCATGGTATTCTGGAGGCGCTGCGTTAGAGTGCCTCAAGCCTGCAGCGGAGGCGAATGAGTGCATCAAGCCACGTCACACGTGAGACATGAGCGCCATCTGGCAGTTTTCTTAGAAAATGAAGTGCGTGACTCTAAGACGGGTGTGCGCGCCCGTCTCAGAGGTGATAAGGTGTAGAACACAAGGCGAAAGGTAGGTGTCACCACCGTCTCGTCTTAAAAAAGCATTGGAAACGCCTTTTTCGCGCAAGCCTTCCATGGTCAGCGCACCGTGATAAGCGCTACGGTCCTCAAAATTGCTTATGTATGCCTTTTCTAGTAAAAGGCTCTCATGCAGAATATATACGTGTTGTTATGGCGCCCCAGACATGCACAATAATTGCTTTTTATTTGAAAATTGCACAAGCATCATACTGAAGCTTGAGCAACATTGGTGGGCGCTGCGAATGGGAGTTGGCCGTTTCAAGTACATGATGCCGTTAGGAGTGGCAGACAGGCAGACGGACCGACAGACAGACAGACGGACAGACGGACAGACAGACAGACAGACAGACAGACAGACAGACAGACAGACAGACAGACTAAAATTTTTTGCGTCGAAGGTCTCCAAGAAAGACTATCGTTTTTAAAAGCCGCCCGCACTCGGCACCCAGATCATCGCGATGCTCCAATGCGCGCTTATCTGCCACGCGTACTTTACCCCGCGGATGGGGGTGGTGGTTAGCTGCTTGCGCACGCGCGCTTATCCTTCGGTGGGGAGAATCGTGTGCCTTGGCCTTTCACCGGAAGGATTGCGTTAGTTGCCTGGACCACAAAAGTCAACTTCGCTCTCTCTGCAGGCCCCGTTTGCGGAAAGAGCACGTTTTTCAAACACAGTGAAGTAACAAGTGGGACACTTGTTAGTTGGCACTCATATCTCTACCTGTGATTACGTTTCGTGCGTCATTTTTGTTTTAACAGCGCATTAAGCGTCTACATGAAAACGTTGTTAGCTCTCGTCATGTGTTTGTTGTTTTAGATGCGGAAGCATCTTATACTCGCGCCTTGTAGTGCGCCGTCCGCACCGCTTCTCGAACATTCGACAGCTGACGCGCGCGCGTGCGCCGTCGCGCCGTCGCCCACTCTTCCACCATCTGTGCATCCCTTCCTCCTCTACACACCGCGCGCGCTTCACTCCTCCACCTTCTGTGCACCCTTCCTCCTCTACACACCGCGTTCGACATCTACAATTCTCCTGATTCTCCAGTGGACGCGCATGTGGCGTCGCGCTTCGAGAACATTCAACAGCTGACAGTGCATGCGCCGTCGCGCTGCATATATACTCAAGGTCGGCGCTCGCTCGCTCAGTTGCCGCTCGTCGGTTGGTTTGTACGGCGCGTCGACGTCCAAGGTCGCGGTGAAATGAATTCCAACGAATCCACAAACACAAGGATCGACGTCCCTTCGACCAGCGCCGCCCTTTCGCATACGTGTGTACGTGTTCACTCATTTAACACCCCCTCCTACAACCACGTTAACCAATTTAGCCATCGACCCAAGTAAGTCGCAATTTAACACCCCATTTCACAACCACGTTAACCAATTTAGCCATCGACCCAAGTAAGTCGCACTTTAACACCCCGTTAACCAATTATATGCTCCGCATCCTCCTCAGTGTTCCCCCGAGGGAAGCTGCGGGCAATTTTCTTATGCGTCATTTGTGCGTGAGCAGTGCGCTGCACGTTTCGATCTGCTAGCCGTTCCCAGCGTTACGTTTCAAGTTATTGCTAACGCATTCATTGCTTCACCCTTGTGGCGAAATTGTGAGTTTTTTCCTTCACTATACATTGTTGAAAACTCATTTACACTTGTACATTTTTGCGTGACCAGTTGATCAGGCATATACTAGCCTCTATGGCAATTTACTTTATATTGCTACGCTAACGCGACAGTGAGGACGAAGAGCGCTTGTCTTGCCTAGATTGGTTCATCCAAGTCTTCTGCACTTTTCACATTTTTAAAGAAACATTTATTATGCGGACATACTGCGGACCACTTAGTGTCCGCAGTATGTATTAAATAAATAAATAAATAAATAAATTATTGTTCTTATCTAATTTCTCTCTTTTTTACCAAGCATTGTGTAAAAATTTCTATTAAAGGTAGAGTGTGGCCAATCCCTCATGTGGGTGTGAGCCAAGATATAGCCGACAAGACAAGACAAGAGTGGATCGGTGCCGGGCGGCAGCCATTCAGCCCCTTTCCATCAGCTCATCTTCCGATAAACATCTTTCATCGTAGCAATACTATTACGACAACAAGTGATTCTGTACAATTATTCCTTCACTTTCAAAGTGGGATGAAAGAACCTTTCCCGATATCTAAGCACGTGTTATCGAGAAATTGCTCCATTTACATGAACGGATATTATTTAATACTATGCGCTATGGCTGTCCTTTGTATGTTCTTACCGGTGCCGTTTCGTATCCCTAGTTGTCGCGAGTGTTTCGCTTCAGTGCAACGCAACGTTTGAGCTTCTCGGTAGCAAATTCTTCCAAAACACTCACTGGCGAAATTTGCAAACACTCGACAAATTGGTACGTTTTCACTAGGCTGGATGTCTGAAAATCTCTTTGGTCACTTTTTGACGTGTTCATTTATTGTTTTGTAGAGTGGAACCACGTCAAGCGTCTATCATTTTTTAGTTGAAGCTTGAACGTCGTTGTGTCATAATTTTAATCGCTGTCCTATTGGCACCCGTATCATCCCATTTTACCTCCGCTGCGAGACGTTTGCCTTTTGAATTTTATCTCTAGTTTACCGTTTCCCAGGCTTCCCAGAACTTCAATGCCTGTCTGATGTCTAGAGGCCCAATGGCATTCGAACAGATTATCTTGAATGAACGTTCCATCGAGCCGTCCTAGTGTAATGAAAATGGTTCTGTAGTTTCCCCCCTTAACATTCTTTGACTCTTTGGAGTAAGAGACATAATGACATCTAGGCATATTTTCTGACAATAGGCGATTGTATTCGCCATTCTTCAACGCATCGAATTCAAGTATATCAGGAGAACACAATGTAAAATGTAAAAAAAAATTATCAGCGGTAAATAGGACCGGAAAAAATGCAGTCCGGAGTGTCTTGCCCAAAATGTATATGAAAACGAGGTGCGTCCTAAATCGCTTACAACAGCCTTCGTTTACTCAAATGGTAGTGACGCACCGCACAGAAAAACATTCATTCTCGGCACGGAAAGTATATTACTGAAAACCGTGCGTTTTCATTTCTTTCTTCAAGTTGTTTGAGTGAATTCGTGAACAGTATATTCATTTCAATCATACGCGCCACCTTATGTCTTCTCACTAGTTATTGTATTTTAAACTTGAGAAGCAGGCTGTACACATGGCAAAACTAAGGTCATTAAACTTGTCTATGCTGAATTTTCAGATTCTCTGCCGCGACAAGTGCGAGTATCCGTCCCCCTTCAGCTCGTTAAATAAAAAAAAGAAGCTTACAAAAATACCAAATCTGGCAAGGTATATTTCTTGCGTGCTACTTCAAAAGGTGTTAGGTATCTGAAGACAATAAAATGCTTAGAAGAAAATAAAGCGGTATGGCAATGAAAGGATACCAAGCACGGTGTCCCGTCTCTGAATCTTCCCTGATGAGCCTCAGCAAGAACCGTAATACGGAAAGGATCGGTCTCTCCGTTTTCTCCTTCTTCTATTTCTTCTTCAGAACATAGCGTGACGCAGGATTTCATTGTGACATTCTGAAAAAGAAAACAAAGTAATTACAGGTCTTTACTTTATGTTGCAACTACACGTGTGCGCTGCGCCACTGGCCTGCAGTGTTTAAATCACGCCAGCCGCACCGCCGCCGAAGTCCCTATAGAGATCGTGCCGCCACCGCCGCACGCAATTGCGGCGTGCCGTGGACGATGATGCCGATGAGAATGAAGAACAAGCGCGTTCCAGACCACCAATTCTCTTTCTGCCATTTTCTCTTTCTGCCTCACATTGACCAGTTTACTGTCAATGTGAGGTTGTGTTTCCTTCACGCCGGAAGATGTACATGCCGAGTTTTTACCGCACGATCTCTACACGTGACATGATACACCAGCGTCATTAAACAACCAGGACGCTCTGAAAGGCTTTTGGGAGCCCCAACACTTACCTCTGGAGGACAAAAAGGTCCACACTGGTATGTTGTGGTAAGTGGTCTTGTGGCGATAATGACTGGAACGGTAGAAAACAACGAAATATTGCGATTTTTTTGTCGTTAACGGAAGTAACAAGATTACAAATAGAAAGGTTCTGTAGCGCAGCTTTTCTGCAACTTGATGGTGCTGTTAAATTATTTAAAGCTGGGAAAATCTTCAAGTCTTCAATCAACCGAGAAAAGGTATCTATTAGGATCCTAAAAAACAAATTTCACTGCATCAGTAGTGCTTTGCCTTTACCGCTAAAGAAAAAGTTTTCATGCAATTACGCTGCAGAAATCGTCTTAATAAAGTATTTTCTCGCTTCACAAGTTTTGCAAACTGCGTGACAAAACAGCTGAATGCACAGTAACCGGTTTTACTTAACTTTATTACTTTTATTTATTCCCTCACGTTATGGATGGCACCGAATTCAAAGGTAAATCAGGGCCGACGCACAGGTTCTCAAATGGGATTGCGCTGAACCCAAGAGTTACGCGAAAGACATATCTCCAGGTTTCCGCGAGTTGCCAGAACAAATGCAACCCACACCCGTTTCACCTCCATGAGCAATTGATTTTTATATGCGACGCATCTTGTGTCAGGGGCTGTGTCTCCCTTCCCTCAGTCCTGCGGTGTCCACCCCCCTCCCCCTGTGCACGCGCGTCCACTCCTCTTCTACGCTCTCTATTCTCCTGACGCCCACGCCAACATAGTACATGTCCCCTTTCTCTCCTCTCCTACACTCCCCCCTGTAACTCCTCTAGGAATTCTCGACTCTATGGAGCGGCGCGCACGGCAGGTGGTGCGACAGCTGCATACTCCGCTGTGGCGCCGCGGTTTAGTTTCGCGGCATAAAGTGATGAAGCGTGCTCCTTACTCCTTCCTGCGCAACTCCGCGATGGGCGTCAGCGTCAACGCGACCGCCATTGTCAGCGTTAGCGCCTGTATAGTGCCTAGAGCATTCCAGGCACTTTAGCGCATGCACAAGCTTCTAATAAAGTACATTATCTCCCGTTCAAGTGAACCATCTCCCCGCTGCTTCCTATCCACGCATGGTTCCTTTTAGCGAGAGATTGTGTAATTTTTTTAACACGAAAGTGTTTTATGCCGCGGCTCACCAGGACTTCAATGACGTACTGCCGTCACGGAAGTGACGTCAAAAAATACGCACGACGAGAAGAGGGAAAAAATGGTCCGTCATCGGGAGTCGAACCACTGACCTGTGGGTCCGCGGCAACAGATGCCGAGCAAGCTGTTCAGTGCGCCATGGTCACATTTTTTTTTGCTTTATTGCGTTCTTGACTTCAGATTAAGATAGTCGAGCAATCATACATCATACTCGTTTCATACACGTTTATACATAAAATATATGACATCTTCATCACAGTCATTCGTGTTATACATATCACGCACTCGGACTACAAGTGCTACGAAACACTCATGAACAGATGGTACTCTTTCATCACAGCGTCTTTAAGCCAGCAAGCGGCACCACACATAATGTAGACCAAGTAAAAGATAACATCCAAATGCTGAGCAAAATTTCCAAAGGGCAGAGAGCGTATGCCGTGCGGATGAAGAAATCGGTCTATCTTTAAAGTCTTCTGCAATATATGCCCTAGAACAATATGACATTCTTACAATCAATAAAGACATGTTCAATAGTTTCTGACTGATTACACTGGCAGCACACATTTCCTCATACTACATAAATCCCTCTGCTTTGCGACATGTTTTCAGAGGCAAGGTTCCTGTGTGTAGTTTGAAAAAAGATGGTCTTTACGTTGAGCGGTATCGACATGTTTTCAACTCGTTTTGGAACATATTGTCGACGTCAGATGTTCCGTTGAAATGGCGCCGAGGAACCGTAGAAGGAAACCCTTGGTACCCTGCGGCGCGATACGGGCAATGCCGAACGATGTGGCCTCCTTCCCCACAGTGAAAGCACAGGGGCCTATGATCAGGGGTACGCCAGATGTCAGTTTTGCGAAGTGGTGGCCGCCTCGGCATTGAAGTTTCTCTGTAGTACCAAGGCGCTGTCGGCGGATGTTGCTGGTGGTACTGATATGGTGTCGGTACGTTCGCTGGCTGTCGGCGGACTACGTCTGCATAGCTTGCTCTGGGAGTGCTCGTGTTCGGCTCAGGAAGTGAGAGCGCTTGCCTGATCTCCTGGCGTACAACTTCCGTTACTGAGGCGATCGCGCAGTCATTCGGTTTGGCGACGAGTTTCTTGACCTCTTCTTGTACGATTTCTCGTATCAGTTGGCGCAAAGAACCTTCGTCGGGTGTTGTTGCTGTGGTAGAGGCTGCCACGCTGATCGGTGCACTGTGGGTTGGGCGGTCATACTGGCGATAACGTAGATGCAGTGCGCGTTCGATAGATGTCGCCTCCTTGGAGAATTCATCCACACTTGTAGGCGGGTTTCGTACGAGGCCAGCGAACAGCTGCTCCTTAACGCCCCGCAAGAGGTGGCTAACCTTTTTAGCTTCGGGCATATTAGGATCTGCTCGACGAAATAGCCGCGCCATGTCCTCAACAAACATCGTAACGGATTCATTTGGTTTCTGAATCCGTGACTCGAGGAGACGCTGTGCAATTTCTCGTCTTTCAGTGCTCGCGAACGTGTCGAGAAACTTCTGCCGGAACTCGTCCCAAGACGACCACACGCGATTCGTGAACCACGTTCGGGCTCCGTCTTGAAGCGGAAAATAAACGTAGCCCAATTTCTGTGTGGTGTTCCAACCGTTAACATTCGCTGTGTGCTCGAATTCCTCGAGCCAGTCATGTGCATCCTCATATGCGTTTCCGTGGAAGTCAACCGGAAGTCGAGGGTTCAAAACAGTCACCTGTGTCGTGCTTGGGCTGGACATGTTGGGGCCAGTGCTTCCAGGCACCGTCATGCTTTCTGGCACAGTCACGCTTTCCGGCAATGGACCAAACTCCGGGCTGAGGCCTAACAGGCGCCGGCTGCTGCGGTGAACGGGGGTGTCGATGCGCGGAATTCTTTCTTGACCAGATGCGGGGCTGTTGTCAGGCGTCCCGAACATGTACCCAGCGCCTCCACCAGTGTCACAATGCAGAAACAGCAGCAGTCGAATCCAGGGAACTCACTTTAATTGTATTAGAATACTGGTAAACTGATCAGAAGAGAACCTCGTCTTCTTCACTCGCTGCGCGTGTTCTTCGTTGTTCTCTTCGTGCTGCATATTCAATGTGGCAATATTGGCCAAACGCTTTTTCAAACATTAATCTATAAAGGGGTACAGGGAATTAACTGTCAACTAGATCCTTCGGAAGGCGCTTTCTTTTCACGTTGGATAAGTAATCCATAGAATACCTTGAACCTAGGAATCGATACGGCAACACCACTTCGCGGAAGAACGTCGGCAAGGATCATCGTTTCCTCTCTGTGATCATACAGAGAAGTCAGGAATGTGATCAAGTAACATTGTTTGAAACAAACAACATAAAAAGGCATCTCTCTGGTCTGTTAACAGCGTGAAATGAGATACTACTTGGTTCAGAAACAGATGACACAAAGAAAGACTTCCTTTCTTGAATCGCTCAACAAATTTGTTCTTGATGTGCACTCCCACGTAGAGCTCCTAATGAATCTAGCAAACGCCCTGTGAATTTTCTGTAGGCTTCTACGCGTGTAGCTAAGTGCTTGCAAAAGGTACATAATTCTAGCAGCTAGACAAACATTACATATTGCGGACCGAGAGAAAATTGATAATTCCCGGCATCCTCATATTTCATCTGTCACCCGCAGTTCCTTTCTTTTCTCAAACCAAAGCGATTATATGTACAAGCACTGCTTACTGGGTCAGTTGGTGTATGATAAATTGATATTGCTTTAGTGCAGCTCAGTTTCAGCGTAAAGGAAAGATACTATGCAGTCAAAAAGGGGAAAGACAGACGACAGTGTGAGCGCTTACTTCCAACTTTTGGTCATTGCGTACCCTTATACAACACATTCTATAGCTCATTCCATGTGACGCCACACACATGACAAAACCGTACACGTGTGGCACAGCACATTATCAAGGAAACCTAGTTGTGATCTGATTTCAAATTAACAATTCTATATCAATGCTTCACAGCTCGCGCTCCGGAAAATTGAGCTCTTTTTGAGATAAAGCCACAGACGGCACACTCACACACAGCTTCGCACATTTTGCGATAGCGTTTGCCTAATTAATTTCCCGTGTCAACTGGTTACGACTGTGGCCCAAGATGACACACTGGTCAAAGAATGGAGTGCCTCCACACGCCTTACAATGCATATCCAGGAAACCACCAGAAGAAATCTTGTTTTCTACATTGCAAGAGTGCTCGCGCAAGCGGTCATTAACACACCTACCAGTCTGCCCAATGTAAACCGCGCCCCACGACAGCACGAAGATGTACACAGAAGCTAGGGTGTATTCAACAAACTTAGTTACATGCTTCTTTCAAGAGGTGGGTTGCACCTCCTTCTTGGGGTTGGTAAGCTTACATAGACGGCTTAGTTCGTCTGCAGAGAACACCACGCGGACATTTCCTCTCAGGACTATTTTTTCGAATGGTGTGAAATCAGATGCACGTACCAAATCACACTGGTTTTCTCAGCATCGGGCTCACCATTAGTCTGAGGCCGTCCCTTCGTAGGTGGCCCATGCAACAGGCCCTCAGCTACCGACACCTGCACCAACACTGGGTAGGATGCCAAGGATAACTGCTTGCTTTGCCTTGCAAAAGTAGTGGCCATAGTGTAGTGGCATGACTTCATCAGGGCATTTCTAAAACATAACCTGGCCATCCCTCGTTGTATCAGTTTTGAATGCGCCGAATCGTACTGCAAGAGAGGCTTTTCCGACCGCGGTTCATAGCACCAGCCAGTGTGCTCAAACGAAAAACCGAGACGATGGTCAAAAAGTGGATTGTGCCTCCTTGCGGTGTTTCGTACGACACTTCAAGTTGTACAAGACACTCCTTAATTATTGGCAGAATTTCTGCAGCCTGCAACTCAATCTCAAGTGAAGTAAACTCAA